GCATGGGTATTTAGCTCTAGCTACCAGATACCCAGTCTTCATTCTCTAACACTGTGCACAGTAAGACAGTCCAATAAAGGATCTTTTTGGAACCCATTCCTACCCATAGCTTTAGCCATTCCTAAATATATTGATGATGTTCCAGCCATGTTAAGAATGAAGAATGCCCTGCTAAGGACACGTGTGTCCACATACTTACAGATTTCTGTTTATTTTCAGACCATAATTCAGACGCATCTCTCTAAATCTGCTTTGTTTCTTTGTTTCATCTATTGATAAGTGACACTTCTCATTCACTTTTTCAAGATGGGGCCACAAAATAATTCCAGCCCCATCTTACCCACTTTCTCTGACATTCAGAGTGATTTCTAAATGTGTCAATAATCTTTATTCTTTATTTTATCCCAAATCCACTTCCATTTGTTCTCACCCATACTGGAAGTTATGTCTACTCCCGTTCTTTTATTTTTTTTAATATTATGTAAATAGTACCTTGTGTTTATGTTTTCTGTGTATGATGTGCATTCCTGGGGCCTTTGGAGGTCAAAAGAGACTATTATCAAATCTTCTGGGACTGGAGTTACAGAGGGCTGTGAACATCAATAAGGATGCTGAAGATTGAATCTGGGTCCTCTAGAAGAATCGCTTTTAACTACTGAGCCATCTCTCCAGTTCCCATCGTGGTTTCTTGCTTTTACTTTATATAGGCTGCTAGCCCAATGTCTAGAAATCCATTGTATGTTATGGAAGTGGATTGCTTTGTCTAAATATATTCTGACTAAATTCTCTGGCATTGAAATGTATTCTTTACCCCTCATTGGCCATGAACTTGAACCAAAGCATAAGGACCTCCATGCCCTGCATCCTTTTCACTGGACTAATTGTCTCTGCTCTTTCTTGAGTTGGACACAGGCACACAAAGGCAGTAGGCAGGCTTTAGCATGAAGACTGTTGCCTGGCACACAGATGATACTCAATAAATGGCAGTTGAATAGATTCATATGGTAATTAGTCAAAGATTCTATCAAATTTGATTATAACTTCATATTTAAGGTCTACAATTCAAAAAATGAGCTATTTTTTGTGATGGGGCCAAATTGAATATTTGGCAGCCTATTAATTTCCAAAATTATTTGCAAGTTAGCAATTAAGCTATTACCACAGATATTCATATCATTGTTCATCTCCCACTGAGTTGCTCTTCTCAAACATTGACTGAAATTAATTTCAAGGCACATAGCTGCTTGGTAAAAGAAGCTATCTTTTAAAATTATTTTAATAAAAGCTAAGCTTTTGTGTGTTTCTGTTTGCTGCTGTTGGTGTTTGTTGAAGCCCTTACACATTATGTCTGTTCTGCAAATACAAAGAGTTGCATGTTCAGGAGCAAGATTTGGCAGTAGAGAAATAATAGCTTTGGCCAAATTCTTGTTAGTGATTTGAACTATTGTGTTGGCCACCCCCGCACACAGAAATTCCCAGGGTTGTTCTGAACAGGCCTCACAAATCTACTAGTAAAAGGATTTGCTGATGAAAAACATCTGCCTTGGGGCCTTGTGAAGACTCCACAGAAAACTCTATTTCCCATGCTATAGCCTTCTATGGACTTCTCTTACGAGTCTGTAATCTGGGGAACACCCTGTGAACATTTTCTAACAGCTCTATCATGTCCTTTTCCCATACTTTTCCTCCGCCTTTGGAGGACTGACTATGCCAGTTTTCTGAACAGGAAGGACTCCACTGAAGATAATCTTATGACCTGTCACTTCATCCTTACCCAAGAGTTTGAAATGCTAGGACTCTTTAGAAGTGAATACAGAACATGCTGAAAGGCAGGCTATTTAAACACATAAGAAAGTATTTTTTAAGGAAGTAGGGATGTAACAGCTTGGGATTTTCTCTTCTGTGTTTGTATTGTTCTAGTAATATATACTGTCCAATCAAAGACTACCTATGCTGGCATTGAAAGAGACCATTGAGGCCAACCAAAATAAATCCACCTAGCTCAACACAGGAACATAAAGTCCATGATGAATGTTGGATTTTAGTATCAGATTAAAATTTAGCATCTATGTTTTCTAAGTGGAATAGAGGATTTGATGAATAAAGAGCTACTAGCAAAGAGACAAATTATTCAGCAAAGCGGTCTGAGCTCTACACCCACTGGAGAAGACCAAGAATATCCATACATCTTGCAAGAAGCCTTACTTCTCTCTAGTGTGCATATCTCATACCTCCTCCCTTGGTAGGAAAAATCTAATTTTATTATGTGTTTAGACATGTGGTATTTGTGGAAAAATTCAGCGTGTAGATGTATACCTAGGAGAGATCTGAAATATGATTCAGCGTTCAGAAGGCTTTCCTAGTTTTGAATCCCAAGAAACCAGGACCTGATAGGATGACTTTACTTATAAACTCAGAAAGGAAATGAGGTATTTTCAGATGAAATAGATAAAAATAGATTTTAACTTTTGCAAGTTTTTCCATAAATTATTTAAAAAGTACTCCTCTTATCCTGAGCTGACTATCTTCACCTAACTTGGCAGGAGCATTAAAGAGGGAAATTAACCAAATTTAATTGAAAACTAAAATCAGTCAACAGGTTTTCAACATAATAGATTTCACATGCTCCCTGTCTTTAAAGGCAGGGATAGTGTGATACCATTTCATAGGACAGATCATGTGGGTATTGTCCTGTATCAAACATACAGTATAAAAGTTAGCTTTTAGTGGGCTGGAGAGATGGCTCAGAGGTTAGAAGCACTGGCTGCTCTTCCAGAGGTCCTGAGTTCAATTCCCAGCAACCACATGGTGGCTCACAGCCATCTGTAATGAGATCTGGTGCCCTCTTCTGGCCTGCAGTCATACATGCTGTATACATAATAAATAAATAAATCTTTAAAAAAAAAAAAGTTAGCTTTTATAATTTAATCTTGATTATCTAAAGGTACATAAAATATATGAGAACATAGATTTTCATAAGCATTTTATACCCATTTACTATTTACAAAAAATGGTTTGCATTGAAGTTTGGAAGAGGTATGATATCCATTTGATAGTGTAGAAGAATCCAAAGTAACATTGGGAACAAATCCTTCATACTTTACTTCCACGGTCTTACCTAGTCTCAGTGTGGGACTATTGCTCTATCATGAGTAAGTGAGGAAGACAGGCAGTCGGCCCCTCTGCAGACACAGCTTCCAATCCTAGCTTTGCTGGTCATTGTAGAGAACAAAGATCACTTGCACATCCCATGCTTCAGGATGACAATCCCTTGGTAGAATAAAGGCATGTGAAAACGAGGATATCATTCACAGCCATTGCATCCCTAGTTTGGCACTCTCTACTACTTTTTTCCTAGGCCAGGGATTTGAATAATTACCTTGGTTCATTGTGGGTGGTATCTAAAGCCAAATTGTTCTCTTGAGAGAAGGACCACCTTAGCTTTTGCAGCTAATGATCTAAAATTTCTTGGCCTAATAGATTTCGATTTGTAACACTTTGAGTTGTGTAGAAACTACTAGTCTTAGAACCCCCTTTACTAAGTAAAGAACCACTCTGACCTTTCAGCTTTGCATTTAGGGACTAACTGAATTCACTTTGTGGTTTTGTTTTTTGGTGTGGAAATCATTGTTTTTCATCATTTAAATACTGCTGGCTTGTAGCTTTACCTATGGACACTGACATTTCTACTTTGCAAAACTCATCATGAGACTGAAACCTCTATGAGAGAAAGGAATGGGTCAGTCAGCTTTGCTTTGGATTCTCAAAGTATAGCACAGTTTCTGTCATTATAAGGATTCAATGATGATAGAATTACGTTCTTTCTCTCTCTCTCCCGTGTGTGTGTGTGTGTGTGTGTGTGTGTGTGTGTGTGTGTATGTTGACTGTCTTCCTCTATCATATTGCACTTGATTTTTTTTTTTGAGATAGGTTTTCTTATTTGCAGATTCAGCTATTTTGGCCTGTCTGAGATCCCTGGGATCTGCCTGTTTCCAGCGTTGAGATCACCCATATGCACTGCTGTACATACATAGCATGTTGGTGCTGGTGATCTTAACCTAGATCCCCATGCTTGTGTAGCATCCACTTTAACCATTGATTTACGTTGTTATCCCCTCCAACATTTGACTTGTAAAATGAAACCTTGTGAAGACATTCTTATCAAGCTTTCAGAATAATTTTGGTTGTTGCAGCTGATGACAATTATCATGACATTGGGAATAGATGAGTACTAGAAAAATACACTATACTATAGAAATTCAAGGTAAAATATGAGCCTCATGTGATAGTGTAAATGCATTGAATTTCACCTTCCTCCATGATACTCTGATTATTATAGCTATGCAAGCTAATTCAGTGCAGTAACCTCCCCTGCCCCCAGTATTTCCTTGGTTCTCAGTTTCCTTACCTGTGTTTGACCTACTTGTTTTAAGCTATTTTAATATTTAAACCTATGATTTAAAACTACTGTTTCTTGATTTATATGAGAGACTGAATTATGCATTGAATTATCTATTTAAATGCTATTAAATCTTTTGTTATGACTGAAGCGTAAGAAGATATATTGAAAGTAAGTAAAAGGCTGAACATACTACTTCAATTGTAGGCATCTTCATTCTGTGTCTGTGAGTTCATTGCTTCCTATACTTATGGTCCAGACGTTCTTTTCAAGGGACTATTATTCCACAATAATGGTCAGGTATAGTGGTGTGATAGTGGAGATCCACTTGTCTGAAGCCACTTCTGAGGCAGATAGCTTGTATCATTATCAAGATGGGCAAGATTTGTTCATTTTTTTTTTCTTCCCCAGATCAAGTGATCTATTCCACAAGCAGCCTATAGATGGTTGAAGTGAACATAGCCTCCCTTGTGTGTATTCTCTTGACTCATACACCAATATCTCTCATATATCATCCAATGGTTAACTGCAGCAATTGGTTTTGATGTCTACTTCACTATAGTTTTTTTTATTTTATTTATTTTTTTTATTTTTACTTCTAGGAGAAGAGTCTGTCACACAAAAACACAAAATAATTTATAATGGTTCAATGAATGAAGAAAACAATATGAATAATCTTCAATAAGATGCAGAGATAAGACCCTCTGGTAAGTGGGTCAGTTGTTTAGCTTGAACTGTTTAGGGGGCCACCAGGCAGTAGGATCAGGACCCATCCCTGGTGCATGAGCCAGCTTTTTGGAACCTAGTGCCTGTATTGAGACACTTTGCGCAGCCTTGGTGCAGGGAGGAGAGGCTTGAACCTGCCTCAACTGAATGTATCAGGCGCTGCTGACTCCCCATGGGAGACCTTGCCTTGGAGGAGGTGGGAATGGGGGGTGAGTTGGGGGGAAGGCTGGTGGTGGGAGGAGGAGGACAGGGGAGTCTGTGGTTGGTATGTAAAATGAATAGAAAATCTTTTCATAAAAAAAGGAGAAAAAAAGAAGAAAAGATGCAGAGGTAAATAAAAATCACCCTAATAGCTTGCTGAAGATATACTTCTGAAGGCAAAACCAATCCCCAAGTGCAAGTGTGGGAGAAGCCAGATTGAAGCCAAGTGATCAAAACAGTTAAATTGGTGAAGTCAATTCAAAGAAGGGCTCAAAGGCAATCAGAACTTTTGATGCAAGAATATTGGTATGATATATGTTAAAGTATACATGTATCCTAGTTGATCACAACGTGTGTGTTTAACATAAAGCAACGTATGTGCAAATAAAGCAGCTGCCATAGCTTCTGAAGAGGTTCATCCTGCTGGTTCAACCCTAAGCATCACAGATATGGCCTATAGCAGATCATCTTCTGAATATGATACTGGTTATCTGTGGTTGAATATGAATACCTTTAACTCTCTCAGATATTTTACTAATTTTACATTGTGGCTAATGATAATGGTGAATACCTTGAAATATTGTGAAGATTTAAGACAGCCACTGAAAGCAATTAATATCAATGGTAATGGTGTAGAGATCTTTGTATAGCTGATTTTCATGCACTGGGAAAATTAGAAACTGCAAGAATAGGAACATAGTAGTCCTATTTTGAGCACTTGGACATCTGCTTGAGGGGAAACATGAATCATAAAGAGTTGCTTTTTGGTCCATCTCTGTTCAAAACATATAGTTACTGTTGCAAGGTACTGTGCTAAATTTAGAGGGACAGACATAAAGGTGTATGGGTGTGAGGCACTCTGCTTGGGTTTTGGGTCTTATAATTTAGTGAAGAAAGATTCATTTTATAGGTAAGACAATTCTATTTTCCCAAGAAAAACTGTATGTGGTCAACTGAAATATAGAGGGGGAAAAAGGAACCAGGAGAATGCACAGAGAGCCGGACTCAAGTTCTAGGGTCTGGTTTATTTTCTAGCTGAAAATGGGTCATTCCTGGTTCTTGGTTTCCCTTCAATTAAGTGAAGAGGTAGGTTGCAAGTTTTCAGGTCTTCTGTTGGCCTAGTTTTTGTCTTTTACTGTTCTTATCATCAGAAAGATGCTGGATGGCGAACAGCTAAGAAATGAATGTGGAGAGAAAGCCCGCATATGCCTGGTCTTAGTTGGCAGTCTGTAGGTGGCTTTGGTAGGCTGGAGAGCTAACAATGAAAATGGTAACAATCAACTTAAGATGGACCATAGTAGGGAACTGGGTATGAAAGAAGACATGAATGTTTTTTTTGTGGAGCCTGGGAGAAGGATTCATGGAAGAAGTTAAGGTCTTGTCTAGGCAGGATGGTCTTGGTCCCTCCTCCTGGTCCCACATGAAGAAATAGACATGTACAGGAAGTGGCTAAGACAAGTGAGTGATTCAGGGAAAGGAATAAAGAGCTGTAGGGGAAAGTAAACGTCTGCAGCACAGCTCACCATGTCCCATACCAGCGACAGAGCCTTCCCAGTTGGTTTCCTTAACCGAAGAAGAATCCCATTGTTGACTCAGAAATGCATCTACCATTATGATAGGGTGGGGTTTCAAGTTTAAATAACGAGAAAAATGGTGAAACCAATCTAAGTGTGATGAACATTTGGTGGGAATAATGGTTGGTGAAGGAGAAACGGGGTGATAGCTCACGAGTCCCTCTGTTTGAATGGTCTCTCTTGTGCCATTGCTTCTCTGCCAATACCCTGGTTATACAGTTGCCCACATGACCACAAGTGGACACTTTCCTTCAGTAGAATTTCACAAGTGATACCTCAAATGTGGAACTGAGAAAGCTGATGGGCAGACAAGTGCCTAATGCCCAAAGTGCATTTGCATGGGCAATTGGAGGCATTCAAGTGCTGAGGAAGGAAAACATGACACACAGCAGTGAATGATCTTTTATTTTTTTTTTAAATCTTTCCAATCTTAAGGTAAATTGAGAGGATAAAAATACCCAAACATGTCTCTTAACTTCCAATAGTGTCTGTGTGAATATAATGTCTGGCAAATATTGATAAAATTGAAAAGATCAGTCTACATTTAGCTCAATTTGAGAAACATTCCTTCAAACATCAATCTTGATAAAAGAGAAGAAAGCCCTGTAAAGGATGGAAAAGTGACTTTTGCTATTCTTACTCATTAAGACTTTTAATTATAAGTGGCTTATGGAACATAGTATTAAGATGTAGAAAATGAAGCCCGAAAGTGCCGTAATATATGTGACATAAGGGTGTAGTCTCTTTAGTAGGTCACATTCTTTAAAAATAGTCAGAGCTGGAGTCATGTTCTGTGTGACAAAGATTCCTGCTGTTCCCCATGATTCTGGAAAGTCTAGAAGATGTTTAGAAACTCATAGTAACATGGAGAATTACATTTAGCATTACTGAAGGTATGAAACAACACATGATTTCCCCAAACACTGAACAAATCATGTTAACCGTAGTTTTTTACTATGTAATGATTTTAACATTGGGAGTTGTCAAGTATTATTTTCCAGTGTATTTCTTGAGGCTCTCTTCCTCCCTTTTCCCCTCCTTCATTTCCTGCTCTATTCCTTTCTGTTTTAGGAATATTGCCTTTTTCTGTCTGGGGAACACTTTGACCCAAGGACAGGGTGATTGACCTAAGACAGAATTCTGGCAACCAGCAGGATTGTCACCACTGAAGAGACTGAAGCTGCTGTGTGCATCAATCACTTCCCTTGCTTCATAGCTAGAATGCAAGGTGCTATAGCAGAGCAGGGGTGTGTACTCAGACTCCCCTCTGTCCAGGATGACAGACACTCTGCTTTCTAGGTGGGCTGACCCTGAAACTTCTGAACTTTTCTCTGGTTAGAACTTGAGATAAAACAATAACTATAACAACAAATCCTTGCCCAAGTTAAGTCAAGTAAACTGGAATACCCAATATGTTTAGCATGTTTATCTACTGACTTGTCCCAATTTGAACATCTCTTTCTTCCTTTCAAATGAACACTAAGGATTTTTCTAATCCTTACATGTTTGTCTCATTTGAATTTTTTTTATTTACCATGAAAAAAATATAGCCAGCCTCAAACCATTTTTTTTTTTTTTTTTTTTACTAGACTAAGCAACACGAATATCCAGTGTGATCGTAACAGCACGCTTGTGAAAACAGACTCTCACGGGGCTGCTTAGTCCTGTCTTCTGTTTATCTTCTTGCCTAGAATTCTGGACCAGGTGCTTCCTCTTTTTTTCCCTCACCCATTGCTCCTGTTCATATTTTTCAATTCTGCAAAATTGCTGGGACTTGGCTGTGCTATTTGGTGTTGCTCGACCCCTCTGCTCGAGCAAGTGACTCCCGAGGGTAGAGAACAGCTTCTGAAAGTTTTGAAGAAGAAAATTTAATCAGCAGAGTAATCATTTCTGCTGTGATGGGGGGGGGTGAAAGAGAAGGAGGCCAGGGTGAATGACAAAACAGATGTGGACCACCAAAAAAGTCAACGGGGATGGAAAGAGGTAGATTTTTAAGGGAAAAAAAATCTCTCCCAAAGCTGAGCTCTAAAGGGAAAATGAATCAGAAAAGAGTTCTGAAGTGGTAGAATTCACTGCCTAATAACTTTAAATAGTCCATTGAGTCTTCCGGAATTTTTTTTGTTCTCCTTCAAGAATAATCTGCTTACATCGTTAAGACCTCAGCTAAGCTCAGTAACACAAGCTACCAGATGTTGTATCCCCTAGTTTTTCCATCAAAAGACCAACCACCAAGCTTGTTGAAAGAGAAAGGTCATTGTCCCTCCCTGACTATAAAACTATTTTTGCCACTCCTAACAAACGGAATGGGAATACCTTTCAGCTGTAGAAGGGACCTGTCTCCCTCCTCCCAAGGTCCCCTGTTTGGCTTTGTTATTTTCTAATAACGCACTCATGTGTAAGCTAATAATGTGAACAGAGGGAAAATGAAGAGACTTGAAAAAAAAAAGAGGAAAAAAGCAGAAGGAATTAGGGCAATTGAGGTCGCTCTGTTTCATTTTTTGCTGGAAGGATTTTAGACCTAGTTTTTACCTTATCGCTTATTACACAATTTACGATAAAATGAGATGTGATTCCATTCTTATTGTTGGGCTATAGTCTATTGAGCATGCATATATAGAATTCATTTCAGATTTAAACACTATCTTAATTATAAACTGAATAAAATAGACAACCTATCGGGTTCTCTAAATTGCATTCTAACAAATAGTTTCATTTTTATCACATTTCTACTGATGACATATTGGGTATAATAACATTTGTGGAATATTCTTTTCTTATGCAGTATCTTAATTGTGCTGAAGTATTTCCCAAGAGATGACTGACGGTTTGTTCTGACTTGCAAGCTCAAGAATTTTAACTACACTCCATACCTCACAGTTGCATCATGCTGTACCTAAATAATATTTCAGGAAATCCCCGAGTCACCTACAAATGATAGCCACTCTGTATAACAAAAATAAAAGTATCTTGTATAGAGCCGTTGTCTTTACAAACCCACCTGACTGAATTTAGGATTCCTGCAAGCATAAATTTTAACAAAAGCCACGTAACCAGTTCAAAATATTAAAAGACATTTTGGAGTTGTGATAAAAATAAAATGAATACTTTAGAATGTAAGACATAATTGCAAAGAGAATGAGTGTCTTTAGGAATTTAGAAGCTTATTTTCCAGCTTATACCTACTCTGTAAACTGTGCAACTTGCTTTGAAGGAAAGTCATTCACATAACTAGTTTTATAACAGTCTTAAATACCTCATAATTTAATGTAATCTTTCAAAGTAACTGTGAGTTAATAACACAGGTACAAAAGCCCAGGATGTATCTCTGTATATTCTATAAAACATGGCTTTATAGTAATACTGTATTTTCAAATGTAAAAAGAATAATCACATTGAGAAAAATGTTATATGGACTTGTAGATACTCAACTGATTTTATGTACTTTAATATGTGAGCATTTGTCAAAGAATTCTAAATTAAACTCACTTAAATATCATCATACATATCAAATAAGTAGCTTAAAGGGACAACAAGAAAAAAAAACCTAAATAATTACCACTCTAATGTCAATTATTTATTAATATGTTAAATCAACAAACTATCTCATTTACTTAATGGGTACTGAAAGTAGATCTGTGCTTTCTATTGACAGCAGCATTTCTGCATATCTATACACATATACTTCAGAATTTCTTCCTTTTCATCATTATGAAGTTCTAATTGCCACTCCTAAAATGTAAATGTGTCCATATAGTCTTAGAATAAAGCCTGTTGTGTTGAAATGTTTTGCAACTAATTCATCTAATATACCATTGTCTTGCTGGACCAGGAGCCACTGTTGTCCACTCGTATCATCTCACAGATACTCTCATAAACATAAATTCAGTGCAGTTCTCACTCTCTGTTTTACTCTAAGCAGAGGATTGTTAACACACACACACACACACACACACACACACACACACGCATGAATGCATACACACATGCACACAAATACAATTTTTAGTCATTTTTTTTCAATTTAAATGATTTGCTATCACAGTTACTCCATCTTTTATCTCTAAAATAGTTTCAACCCTGTTAATGTGTGCATGTACTTTTTTCTTATCAGCCTCTCAGCAGCATTTGTGATTCATAGCAGCCATCAAAGTGATAATAAACTCATTCACAATACTAACAAACACGGGGCTCCCAGTTATTTACGAGGCAAATTCACCGCAAGGCTGGGCTGTGGAACTGGGGAGAATCAAGATGGTGTTGATTGATAAATTGACAGGTTAATTTACAAGTGGATAATAGGAGTTAGACCCAGAGGGAAAGAAGGAAGGTCTGGATTCTAGCTTGGTTGCACTGCCATCTGTCTTATGCCCAGAAATCTGCAGGACACTGCCTGGCAGGATCAACTACATCCACGCTCTTCATAACTTAAAGACAAAGCCTTCCATTTACTGCTGTTTGATGGGTCTGTTGCCTCGGTTCTTCACACGCTTGACCTTCAGTATGTCACAAACAATTTCCTGTCTCAATACTTTTTATAAGTGCCACTTGGAACACTATTTAGAGTAAGTTACATTGTCAGTTCTACAAACTAAACAATGAATAAAATTCTCGTCAAGACTATTTCACACACACGCAAAAATCATTGCCATTTTATTGTTGACAGTTGAGATATACTCTTTTAAGTTCCTGAGGTCTGTGGTACATATTTGTTTTAGGGTCTTCGTTTGCTTCACCCCTAAGACACACCCCTTCCTTTTTAGATTTCTAAAGTTCCTCTGCTGGCAACCTTGCTGTATCCAAGGCAGCACAGAATAAACAATTTAGCACTATATTACATATTTGCATTCATTGTCCTCTTGCACTTTATTTTTTGAAAATGTAAATATATTTCAGAATAAAGAAAGTAAGTTGACAAAATACTTTTAATAATAGAGAAGTCCATTGGCTTGTTCTTTTCTTCGATGACACATTTAATTTTACAGGAAAACTGTTGATGTTACTAGTTTTATAAGAAAACTATCTCAGTGTCAAATAGGCAACCCCCGACACACACACACACACACACACGCACGCACGCACGCACGCACGCACGCACGCACGCACACCCACATGCACACACGCGCACACACGTGCATGTGCGCACGCGCAAACACATATATATGTATTTTAAATCTTACTGGTCTGATGCAAGAGGAGTATTGCAGGGTGGGTTGGTAGATAATGCCTCTTCATTGCACTGATGATATTGTGAGGCAGCAAAAGTGTAGCTATTGCTACTTCAGAAACAGCTTTGGGCTTTGGGCTTTTAAAATCAGCAGCTTGGAGACTGTTAAAAGCACCGGCCCTGTCTGCTGCTTCCTGGTCACAGGTTCTGCTTCTCACATGCCAGCACCTCTAATAACAGGGATTAAAATCCTGGGGTTGCAAGAACATGCTCCCGTTTCCCAACCCCCCCCCCCCCCCCAGGTACCAGCTACATTGCAGACAAATCCTCTCCTCTGTTTCCAAAGTTCATCTCATGCTCAGCTAATGTTAAAACTTGGTAGAACTGAACATACTGGGGAGTTCAGTGTATTTTCAAAAGAATTTGAAAAAGGCACAAAAGTGAGCATGTCTGTTTGGCTTTCTGTAACTTGTTACTGAACACCAACATTAATATTTTTTTCAAACAGATTGTCCCTCATGAATCAGGTATTAAACTATTAAAACTATCTGGAGTTGAATAACATAAAAAGTTCATGGAAAAAATTTGGTTTAAAAAAATGAAGGCCAGCAAAGCAAAAACAAATAACTTTGCATGCACGGAATTTTATGGTGTCACAAGGCTAAAAATGTCCCCTTAAAGGGTAAATATCCTTTGAAAAGAAAATTCATTTATGTGTGACTGGGAGGCTGAATGGCTTTTACTGCTTTGTTTAAACACAGACAATTACCTTTGTAAAAATTTTTGGCACGTTGTATATTTTTGAAAAAAAAGTATGAAAGATCACAATGTGTTTAAAATTGCTAATTGTTCTTGATGTGATATTTTACTAAAAGGGTGCCTTTTATTAAGAAAAGTAAACCAGTGGTTTTTCAACTCTATAATCCGTGGAGTCAACTTGAATTCTTTCTTCAGTTTGTAAAACAGCACATTTCCACATCTGTTTTTTTTTTTTTTTTTAACTTTTATTTATATATTATCTTCCTGGTTAAAGGCTTAGTAGCTGGCAAAAGGTTATGTAAAATAGAAAAATAATTGGCAGATAGTTTATAGATATGTATGCTTTTATGGCATATTTCTATAGGAAATCTAGCAGAGCAAGCATGTGTTGAAAATTCACTCGAATATTAATCTTTCCTCTACAAATTCCAATGGTAAAAACTATTAGCATTACAGAAGCATAATTTATAGCATATTATACTTTCTTAACTTAAAATACATAAGCTAAATTCTTAAAGAATAATCTTTCTCTGCCATTTTTCAAAGCCTCCAATTTCCCTGAAATGCAGCAGGACTTATTTTAATCAGAAGCACATTGATAAAAAGGCAATAAAGGCTCAATACAATGATGGGCAGCGACAGACCCTTTTACACGTTTATAACTTTAAATTCTTTTTAATAAAGCATTCTCATCCTGTGCAAGCTAAGAGGAGACGCTCAGTCTTTTTTTCTCTGTAGGTACTAAAAGTAATTCTGAAGCAAAAAGAAAAAGAAAAGAAAAGAAGAAGAAGCAACAAAAAAGATATCAGATCTAATATCCCACCCAATTTCTGAGTCAAGCCAGTGGCAGGTATGTTCCGAAGAAGCAAGACTATTTAGACACATTGATTTTTGTTGTCACTTTCTTCTTCTTTCAGACGTCACATCAAGGCTTGGAAATTAGATGAATGTGAGAAGGATCTGCTGATGGCTCTTCCTCAGGAGGAATTTTCAAAGCCAGTCTAGCTTTGGCTGATAAAAGTGGCCCTGTACACAGCTCTACTCTGCCCACAGGGAAGTTTAGGCAAACTCAACTTCACCACTTTGCTGGGATTCTGGGTTGTCAAGGAGGCATCAGCGAACTGAAGTCAGGGAAATCTCAAAAGTAAAGAATTAAGAATGGAAGAAAAAAATAAAAGAAGAACAACAAATAACAAATACAAAAACCCCAGCTCAAATTGCCCCCACCCACCCCCTTACCCCCACCCCAACCCCACACACTTCAAAGTCCTTTTAAATGAACATCAAGTTTAATTTTGGTAAACAAATTTTGATAGAGGAAGTGATGCGAGCAGCATCCTCTTCAATCATACCCTTCCAGGATAGCATATCTGCATCCAATCTTAGTGCCTCAAAGAACTGTAATAATAAATAGAAATCGATGCTCAAGGCAGAAGGGGGTGTCAATTATATTTCTTTCCTCTCAAAGATTCTTTCTGTGTTGTGTCTATCTGTCCTTGTGGAATTTTTTTGTCACATTTAAAATAGTCTATGATTTAATTGGTGACATAGATACTGAATGCTGGTGGTATCTAAATTACATTTGACAGAAATAAAACTGATGTTATCTCGTGTCAAATAGAAAATATCACCATGGTCCTTGAGTTTGAATAGGGTGACATTTTGTCTGAATCATCATACAAAGGAATTTCAGAACAGATAGGAAGAACTTTAAAAAACAAAAAGAAAAGAAAGAAAAATTACTGTTTAGATATCTGGTCTGTAAAAAGAAAAAAAAATAAGGATAAGGATAGTTAGAAATAATCGGCCTGGCAGATATGCATTAAGATGATTCAAACTGAAAGCCTTTATGAAAATAAAATACTTTATTTTCATAGATCGGAGGTCGTAGTGGAGTGAGGGTGAGAAACAGGCTGGGACTCAGTTTGGGCGCTCTGTCTGCTTCTGAAGCAGGCTGGGGGTCAAGGCTCCACGGCAGCCCTGCAAGCAGGCTTGGCCGTCCCCTCATTTAGGAAACCTCGCACGGACTCAGGATGAACAGGCAAGGCGTGGCGTCCACGCCCTTGGGACACAGAGATTTCCTCTCTAGAGCAGATACAATTCCTTCCCTGCCTGGAGATCATCCCGAGCCTTCAGGAAATTTTATTTGAGCCCACAGGGAGAGAGCGCTTGCTAAGCTGTAATTTCCTATGATTTGAAATATGGCATCTGCAGGCCTCCCGTGTGGGATCACTCAGGAAAAACAACAACAAAGGGGTTTATCTTTTAAACTTGGCTGAATACCCAGTGATTTTTAACTCAAATTCCCCTTCACAGTCTATTTTTTTTCTATAAAAATATGTCTAGGTAATTGTGTGGACAATTTTGGGTAGTGGTGTATTGCACTATGTTAATTGTTTATTCACATGATATTTTTAGCTTAAATTTAATGCTTTCTTAGTTACATTATTTGAAAAATGGATTTAAATGGATTAAAAGAGAAGAATGTTGATCATTATTAAAAATAAACAATTATGAAAATCAGGATTAAGGCTAAATACTCTATATCAGAAAGTAAATTTTAGAAAAATTTTACTTTGTAGAAAAATGAAGCTACAAAGAGTATTCTAATATATATATATATATATATATATATATATATATATGTATATACACACACACACACCACATATATATAGGCACACATACACATTGAGGTTCTCAGCTTGTGGCTTGTGTAATCTGATAGTCCTCCATTTGCCCCACTGGCCAAGACCCAAGCTCTGTGGGCAAAGACTGACTTGGGTGACACATCAACATGCTGAGGACTGGTAGGGCTGTACAATTGCAGTGGTTATTGAGAATACAGAAAGTCAGCTAGCCACCAAGCCTCAGTTTCTGTGTCACAAAAATGGGGTCAATTGCTCTGAGTTCTCTATCTAAACATTGACAGCATTTCAAATTTTAGCTGAACACCAATCTAAGAGAAAAAAATAGAAGGCAAGAGCAGAGCAGCCATGTTTATGATAACAGTCCATTCCTTGACTTATCAACACAGAATACAAGAGGAAATACAAGCTGGCCACAGCAATGACTATTTCAGGACATATCTGTACAAAGCGGTAGGCTAATGTAATGATTATGGCCCATGGTATGTAGTGAATACATTCACACAAATGAACATGAATCATTTCCCCATAGGAAACTTTCAGACATATGATTATTTGAATTTTATCAAGTAGGACTGTACTTTGGGAACAGAAGTTTTAATCTCTTGGGAGAAAATCAAAAATCTGTATTTTCCTTCTGATCTGTTAATTCCAGTAACAATGATTTTGTGTGGCTCTTTGCATCTTCAGAGAGAGAGAGAGACAGAGACAGAGACAGAGACAGAGACAGAGACAGAGACAGAGATAGACAGACACACACAGAGAGAGAACCAGCTGGAATTGAAAGATGCTAGGATGGTCATTGGATAATTTTGTCAAAAAAGGAGAAGAAAAACAATGAGAGAAGCTGCCAAGCATGACTTTCGAAAAATCTTGACCCAGGGTTGTTCGTAGACAGCATGGTCAAACTATCTGGGAAATTTTAGCTCAGGCACACCTGGAAGACAGAAACATGTGTGCATGTTTAGGCCACTGTGGCAGGAACAGTGAGGCCTTTGGTGTAAGAAAGAAACAGATTCACTTCAATCTCAGCCAATTTCAGTCATCACTCATTGATCACGGTGCTTCTCTGTAGCTCATCTTGGCGATGGCGATGCTTAAGATGCAGATGATGACAACGGCGGTGATGGTTAAGGACAGAGCGACTGTGCAGCAACTTCAGTTCTGTCCTAAAAATGTTGGCGTTTCATCAACGAGGACAAAGAACTAGTGAATCAGACGAGATGCCCACAGTCACGGATGTAAGTGATGTGGCTGGGCTAGGGAAAGCTGTGTGACCAGAACACAGCTCTCTTCATTCATTCACATTCTCTCTCTCCCCCCTCTCTCAGAAGCAATGGTTGAATTATTATTGTGTAAGATCATCAAAGAGAATGATGCCTTTAGGAGACTGCCTGGAACCCCCTGTTCTGAACTGGCCCATGCTTAGTTCAGATAGATGACCTCAAAATGACTAACTGGGAAAGGACATCCTCTTCCATTCCTGTACCCACATCTATTCAACACATCGGTTTATAGTCTCTTACAGTGCCCCTCCATCCCCAGTTCACAGTAAAGTCAGAACAGAGAACAGTGCCCTGTGTACTTCTTGTACAGTAGAGTTCAAAAGTACAATGTTTTTTTAATTTTATAATTTATCTTAATTTTACATATCAGCCACAGATTCCCCTGTCCTCCCTCCTCCCACTTCCCCACCACCACCCTCCCCCTAATCCACTCCCCATTCCCATCTTCTCCAGGGCAAGGACTCCCCTGGGGATTCAGCTCAGCCTGGTAGATTCAGTCAAGGCAGGTCCAGTCCCCTCCTCCCTTCACCCAGGCTGAGCCAAGTGTCCCAGCATAGGCTCCAGGCTCAAAAAAGCCAGCTCATGCACTAAGGACAGGTCCTGGTCCCACTGCCTGGGTGCCTCCCAAACAGTTCAAGCTAATCACCTGTCTCACTTATCCAGAGGGCCTGATCCAGTTGGGGGCTCCTCAGCTATTGGTTCACAGTTCATGTGTTTCCACTAGTTTGGCTATTTGTCCCTGTGCTTTTTCCAATCATGGTCTCAACATCTCTCACTCATACAATCCCTCCTTTCTCGCTGATTGGACTCCCGGAGCTCCACCTGGGGACTGGCCATGGGTCTCTGCATCCACTTCCATCAGTCATTGGATGAGACTATTTCTTTAGATGGCAATCAGAAGTTCACAGCGATGTTCTGTGCCCATTTACTGTATATATTCTTTTCCTCAAAGAGCACTTGATAAATTATACTGTTTGTTTGGGGGACTATCCTGTTTACATGAGTGTTTTTTTTCTATCCCTTTATCTATGGAAGGAAGTGATATGGATGAAGAAATATTTAAGTAAGTAAACCTCAAATTATCCATAAAACAACCAGCCAAGAAATCAGTTACAAAACTGACTTACATTTTTAGGCCATTTCTAAGGATAATTAGGTGAATGAATCTGTGAAATATAAATGCTAAGTTGTATTTTATAGTTACAATGAAAATATCCACGATAAAATTTTTACCACCTAGAGACAAGCATAGTTGACATGAATATTCGTTTATTAATTGATATCTAATAATGCTTTTCATCTACATAGTGTAAGTGTATGTGCCTATGTGTGTGCGTGCATAAGCATGCGTGTGCCCACACATGCACAAGTGTGCATATGTGTGTATACAGTCTTCATTCAGACAAACTTAACTTAGACACTACTGTTTTACTGTTTTTAATCACATGTCACAATTTCAGTTGCTGCCCATGTCATTATGTATTCTCTCAATTGTTTTCAAAGAATCTCACTGAGGTCTTGCTTCATTTCTATAAGCTAGTCTCCCGTAAGTAAGAAAGAGTTCATACTGTGCATTTAAATGCTTATTTACATGTAGCACCATAATCCCTGCTATCCTGCACAAATCCCCACATGGAATTAAGTTCATGGACCATTATTGTGGAGATTATTTCTCTTTCTCAGCAAATCTGAGAGTATCGTGAGTATGGAGCATGCATTTCTTTAATAAATACTATCAACAATTTCAAACTTGGTCTGCAAAATTCCTCCTCAGTTGGTTCCTGCCACTCTGGGGTCAAGACCTCTGTTTCGCACCCCCCACCTCCCCAATTACATGGGACAAGAAGACAAAGAATGTAAGAGATGGGAAGAAACCACTTGCCTAGGTGAATGGCACTCTAACTTCGGCCCCTCCCCTGCTTCTGGTGGTCAGTTCAGAAATCTTATTTCCAATATCCTCACTTCTCAGTCTCAGCAGAAAGGAACCTTCCTACCCAGTGACAGTCACTTGGCTCCATCCCACTGAAGTTATGCAAGTCTATTGGGAAGCCAGTTTTAAATACTGGATGCCAGAAGCTTTGGGGTATTTTACTTTTGATTAACTAAGTGAAGTCTCAGTTCTCCTATTGTCTTCCTGTTCTTTTGAGGAAGTTGCTACCCGCCCCATGGTCTTGTTCAATGATTTCCTAGCTACTCAGATTTCTAGCACCGCGTCTCCCGGTAGCAAGCTCATTTTCTTCGCTCTCTTTACCTGTTAATCGTACATGATTTGGAAGTTTCTACATTGGTATACTAGTTTGAAAGCATGATTTCAACACTAGCCAGGTGAAGATGAAGTCAAATTAAATTTCACATAGAATAAATGAGTCAAACAGGGAATTGCCATAGGATGACTAGTAAAGACATTTCTGGGATACAGAATAGGTTTCCTCAGACTGCTATCATCTGCCAGACAACAGCTAAGAAGCACGAAGCAGGGATCTTCACATTGGACTGAAGAAGAATATTTTAGGAAAATTTTGGAATGCTACAATGGCTGCCTTTCACAGGGATAAATACAGTCCTGTTGAGTGTATTTAGCACCTTGTTCACAGCATGGATCTTCAAGAGATGCCCCACCTTACATCATTTCCTCTTGAGTATCTTCTACTTTACATCAGGAACCCTCAACATGAGAATGTACTCCAGGTGCCTTGCCTTTTCTCACCTCGTCTCAGTGTTCACAGACCTTTACAATTAAGTGGTTTTATTCTGAAGAACAGTACTGTGTAGATGAATTTCTAAATGGTCTCATTAAATAAGAAACACAGAGCCAAATATAGGGGTGAAAGCCTTAGAGATCAGGGAAATAGTGAGAACCACCAGCTAACCTTAACTTACCATGCCACCGTAGCTTCCCAAGAGAGCTACTTTCTGTCTACTCAGACTTTTATTGCCTTGCTGTTCTGCCCTCTCATTGGCTCTTAGCCCAGCTACCTCACTTCCTTGTCACTGCCCGTCAGTACAGACCTCCGGGTCTCTATGGTTGGTACTGGGAATAAAGGCATGTGTCACCACTCTTGGCTGTTCCCTAGTGTGAACACACAGAGACCCTGCCTTCCAAGTGATCAGATTAAGGGTGTGTACTACCACTTCCTAACTTTTGTGTTAATGGCTTGCTATTACCTCTCATCTCCAGGCAAACTTTATTTATTAACATAAAAAATAAAATATCACCACAGTACTGGGTTTTGCTCCCTAGAATCACGTGTTTGTGTGTACTATATGCACACAACACTGGGTATATACCCTGATGACACTTTCATGAAACCATTTCAGTCCTTAGCTATCACTGAATTCAGAGTGATAAATATTACTCCATGGCTGTATGCCAATGTTCAACTGGACTCTGACATTAACCCACATTATAAGTTCTGAAAAAAACAAGTCTATGAGAGACATCTCAACTCCCTCCTGCTCAGTCTCTGTGTTGACCTGTCTCTTTCTTTCTGTGAAGCCCAGAGGTATAGGGATAAGAGTGTTTAATTCTGTAGCTAACAATTTGAAAAATGACTGATCTTGTGTAACCTTCTAATTTGGGAAGATGAACAGGGTCAGAGAGATTAAGGAGCATTGTCAAGGTGAAACAGCAATAATGTCAAGTGTCCTGACACTTAGTATGTATTTCCTTGCACGAGGGCCAAGTGAAAAAAATGAAACTCAGTAGTAAAGAGCGAAAGCATTTCCCCGGAAGGTAATGCTGAGATGATCTTGTATTTCAAGGTCTGTGTAGGCAGAGGAATGTTTGCAGCTGAAGATTTTATTCATAGACCTACATTTTACTGCTTCTTTATTTGTCATCTTGCTATTTTAGAACAAATTTTATGAGAAATTGTTGAGATCCAAAGCAGAAACTTGTGCTAGATTCTGAGTACTACTAATGCTTATTTAGGACTTTGCTATTTTGATACTAGTTTGATAAAGTTTTAGATCAAGTGAATTAAAAACGTGAGTTGTATGTACACATATGTGTATATTCATGTGTGGTAATATGTGTGGAGCCCAGATTTTTTTAACAAAATATCATTCATTATATCTTACCAATAAAGACTTGGGAGCCAGATGCTGGGGTGAAAGCCTGCTAGCTCAGAGAGGCAGAGAAAGCACCCAGTTGACCTTCCTCCTCAGCTGACATCCCAGAACCTCCCCCTTCTACACAGTTTCAAAAGCTTTCTCAAAGTAAAATATTCCTCCCTTTTACTTTCTATACGTCTCTCTATCCATTCTCCTGATGACCTCTTATTCTCTATGTTTTTTTTCTTAATAATCCTATGTTCACTTCTTGTCAGCTGGTTGCTGGCTTCACCTCTTGACCTATGGTTGACTTTATTTCATCCTGATTACAATATTCAAGCAAAAACCTCTTGGATTAAAGTTGTGAGCTAGGGCTGATCCACACCACATCTAGCAACAGGTTTTTCCAGTAAACAGCACAATCTCAGGGTTCCCAGTATGATCAAATATCCTGCAACAGGCCAAAGGACAAACTCTGGTGTCTTTTTCTCAGTAGCCATCCACCTTGTATTTTTGGACACAATCTCTCACGGAGACGTTAGAAGCTTGTCAATTAAGCTACACTGGTAGGCCAGTGAGTCTATCTGCCTTCCTTCATCTTTGCAGCCCTGGCACTAAAAGTGCATGGTTTCACACTAGGCTTTTTTTTTTTTTTTTTTTTTTTTTTAAATGCACGGGTTCTCAGCATTGAATGCAGGCCCACAAAATTTCATATTAAGCATGTTATTTCCTGAGGTATCAATTTAATATTTATTGGGGCTGATGAAGACAAGCTCATCAGTTCAATGCTCTTTCTCTTTGGGAAAAAATCTTGTGAATACTGAAGACTTCCGGAGTCGCCCTGCTCAGCAGTCTGTGTCTTTGCGCTGTGACAGTTAATAACAGCAAGCAGCAGAAGGTGGGTGGAAGCCAGCCTCCTGTCCCTGGCTGACTGAGATGGTGGTAGGAGGTAGAAATTGGGGGACCATTTTTTTTTGATCGTTCTATTC